CTAATTAAATATGCTTGACTTACCTCTTTTCATCTACTCTCAATAGAAGAAAGGTTGGGGAGTTTTTAAATATCATTAGCATGTCTTGTCTTATTGCATCTCCATTACATTGTATAATTTATAATCCTCATAGTGTTTGGGGTGAATAATTTAAATGGAAGATATTTTATTTTACAACTAATAGCCTTTTTTAAGATTCTGACATAAGTATGAAATAAGTATGAAAACCTATGATTTAAATTTCTTAACATATTGATGTGAAATAAGGCACTTTTGTAATCTTATTAATATAGAAATATGCTGGGATTGTGGTATTAGTAGTAGTAAAATATTTTATTTTACTCTTCCCATTAGAAAAATTATAGAAAAACTGATGAATTTTATGACCATGCAGTGTTATCAGAGGAAGAATATTCTATGCACAGGTATGCTCCCAGAAGTAATGGAGCATTGTAGAGCCTCAGTCATTGTAGAAGGTCTGGTTCCTTTGGGTCTCTCAGATGAAAGTTAATTCATACCTTGAAGCCTGATTCTCTTTAACCTAAAATCTCTGTACAGACTACATAAGGATTATTTAACTGTGGCCTTACTGAGACCCAAGTGGATTTCTTCTGGTAGACAAGTGTAAGCATAATGGAAAGAACAAATTAAATAGATTTTTAGCTATTTAAGGGAAAGGCTAAGGGAAAGGCTAATTGTTCTGTGATGAAAAACAGGCAAACAAAAAGGCCTAGGATCATATTGTCTTCAATATTTACGTGCATAAATTGTGATCCACCCTGCTCAAGTCCCTGAAACACTGCATCTACATGTTCATTAATATACCCTAGTTACTGCACATTAAGTTTAGTACTTGGTTTACCAAGTTAATGCATAATTCAATGTGCAGTAACATGCAGCACTGTTCAGTAGCAGCAACCCACAGGATATTTTTTATGTTTACTGTGTAGTAGCCTAATAACACTGTACAGTAGCATATTGGCACGGTTTTTGACTGGAATGCTACAGTATTATTAGGCTCCTGTGCAGTAAGCATTTTGCGCAGACACTCCCGGTTAATACAAAAGGTGGGTAGATCCTTCTCCTCCTTGTTGCTTTTTGTTGTGACTCAGCTGAAATAATGGCTCACTCACAGGTGAAAGAGGATGGTATAGGAAAGTCCATACATGCATGAAGCAAACAAAATAGTGTGTTTAATATAGCACGCTTTTGTCCACCGCCTGGAGATAAACCTAGTTTGATTTTCCTTTGCTGTTAACAAGTATCTGTTAAACTCACTGGTAAAACTTCCCCTCTAATGTTCATACACAAACATAAAACAAATTACTATTGCTATAATTTACTATATTACTGCACATAACAGAGGTCTGTATCATGGATCTGAAGGCTCTAACCTTGATGAAGAGTCATGTGAATGTTAATGTGATATCACAGAATACAATTTTAAAGCAGGGTGGGGAAGGAAGGGAGTCGGTGTCCAGTTTTATTTATTTTTATTTAAACCAGAGGATAGCATATATGAAAGCACACTGAAATACATTGTTAGGTTGTAAAATCAAACCCTCCAAGGCTAGAAAATGCCATAATTAAGATCACAATTTTATTTCACCCCCTTATGTGTGTGAATTCTATATCCTTATGCAGTTCTACAAGCCCCCAAGCTGTTTTTCCACAGGACCCCAGCCACATTCTGTGCACAAGATGGTCTCTCTCCAGGGAATCACACTTGTACAGTATAGCAGGCTGTTTACTTCAGGAGTCCTGCACATTTGTTGCAGAAGTTTGAGTTTGCATAGTAAATAACACTGGGGACTGGGGAAGGATAAGAAAGGAGGGCCACATGGTTAGTTAGTAAAACTGTTTTCCTGTAACAGCTGCAGAGTTACATTGGGATTCTCTGTGTGACAATATCATTTTTTTTCCCAGAACAAAAGTGTTCAAAGGTATGTACATTGGGGGTTGGACTTGATGATCTATTCAGGTCCCTTCCGACCCTAGAAACTATGAAACTATGTACACAGGTCCCACCTATTCAAACCCTCCAAATATCAGTGAGCTTGCTCCAGGGTGAATGTTCTGCATTAGTTATCAACCCTTTTTCTTCTGATGCATTTCAGTACTGCAACTGGGGATTAACCCTCTAAAACATCAGGGCCAAGATGTCTCACAATAGGCTTCACAAATTAGCAGATGCTTTTGATTTTCATGTTTTTTGTATCTCAGCTCCCTATTTTTAAAGGGTACATGCATTTTTTTTTATTGTTAAGACACATGATCACAAATTGAGCAGGGCATGTGCATACATTCATTTGTCGGTGTCAGGAGCTACACTACATCAGTCAGGGTGAAGGGATGGGCATGCAGGATTGGGGACCAATGGGTCCATGAGGGGATTGGCAGATAAGGAGGGTTGGCAGGTTGGGGGGGCGCTGGAGAGATGGGGTGGCTAGTGGGTCTGCAGGGAAGGTTGGTGGGTCCGGGGGGGAGAGAAGGGAGGCAGGGATTTGTCTGTCCACAGGTGGGAGAGGCCAAGGTGCTAAAAAATAGCCTGGTCAGGGTCAGAGAGATGTAAGAAAAGTGCATCCCTGGGCACTTTTAATTTAATTTCACAAAATGAAACTAGTAGATAAGTTTAAAACTAAAAAATGAAGTTCTATTTCATAGTATGCGCTTCAAGTATGGAACTCATTGCCCCTATATATTGTGGACACTAACAGCCAGATTCAAAAAGGGATTGGAGAAATTCTTGGAGAAAAGGTGCATCAGTAGTTATTAACCATGGAAGTTAAGGGATACAGCCTCTGAATCAGGACTTTGTAGACCTTAAGTGTGTTTATACACATGCTCTGGGAATGGTAAGAATGGGGGGTGGTTTAATTAGAGCAGCTCCAGGAGCTTCTCTAATTAAAGCACCAGGAGCGTCACATGTATCAACATCCCCACACGAAAAATGGCAGTGGGGGTGCTTTAACTACAGATCATCAAATAAGCTTTAGTTAAAGTGCCCCCACCACCATTTTTCAGTTCAAGGATGCTGATACATCTGATGCTGGAGTCTGCTGGAGTGCAGTAATAACCATGTTCCAGCAGACTCGATTAACTGAGTTTGCTCCAACACGCTGTAATTACACAATGTTGGAGCAGTCTCTCTGCACATGTATAGGTGTGCTAAATGCTGGAGGCTATAAATGAGAGGAACAGTGAAAAAAACCTTGGCCATCCCCTGTTCACTCTCCCTTTCAGCATTCACTCTCTGTGACACAGGATGCTGGCCTAGATGGACCAATGGTCTGACCCAGTAAATGACAATTCTTATATTCTTACATTATGTTTTTATGTTCTTATGAAAACTCACAGTGGAAGTGCACTTTCAACCACAATTGAAATTGCAATGACACTAGCATAAAAATATAAGAAAAATATAGTGCTAATTTTTGTTTATTTCTGACTCATAATATAACAGGGAATTACACTAATCAAGATAAATGTAATATCTATGTCGATGTCTCTAGATAAAAAGGAGATTGAGCTAAAATCTGCATATATATAAGCATTAGATTGATGAGAAATTAATCCATATTTGCATAACTTAAATAGCATTTTAGAATCATTATAAACATATATATGTGTAAATAAAGATATTCTAGTCCCCATAGCTAACATAACTTAGCTAATTATCTTAAACTAATATTCAGAAAGTGTGAATACTCTGGTGCCTTTCAAAATTGGAATTGGCTTTTTATTTTTAAACTCATGACAGCAGTGTTTGCTCATACATTTAATCTTTATAATCATCCTGGGGGAAATTTTAAGATAGAAGTAGATTAGGACACTGCTCATATTGACTTTCTAACTGTCTTTTGTGCCTTTGAAAGTCTCTCCTCACATTGCTAAAATGCACGATCTATTTTGTTTATCATAGCAGTCAATGTTTTATCATATTCATTACTGGTAGATGTGTGTGTGTGTTTGTGTATGTGTGTTTCTTGTTCATATATTCTGAAACTGAAGTGTTATGCATAAACAATTTATCTTAAAACTATTTTTTCTATTACTGGTAAAAATTATAGAATTCAGCATTTTAATCACATAATAATCTCTGGAAATTGTCAATAATATGTTGTTAATTTTTTTCACCACTATTACATTTGAGATATTGCACAAACATGAACACAATATTATCATTATTATGGCCATTTAACTGAATAATTCATATTTTTAAGACCATTCATGATCCAGTTAAAACATGATTGATAATTGGGATGCAAATTGAAACAACACTTTTAGTAAAATGTATTTACTTTGGTGTATTTTATTGCACAAGCATCAAATGAATAAACAGATTTAACTTTTTTTTGTGTGTTTTTCATAGGAACAGATGTTTTTGTTTGTTTGCTTTGTTTTACCCATATCCAAAACTTTGTGGTCAATATCAAAATTAATTGTCTTGAAAATTTACAAAGTTCAGTGACTGAAGAATCTATAAATTATTAAGGTGAGATTTTGGGTCATTAATATCCATTCATCTTTTTCATCTAGGCTAGAGACAGAAAGTGGTTTAAGATAAACCTGGATGGATGTAGTATGAGACTTCACTGATTCAGGTTAAATCAGTTTATTGACTTTTGTCCCACATCCCCTCCAGATTCAAGTTAATTCAGGGTACAGACAGAAGTGTGGCTCCTTGCAGGAATTCAGAACACATTGCAGGAAATGTTCAGTGTTACAACATTCCCCCAGACCAAACAGAAGTTCACGTTGATTCCAGGGGAGAGGGGAATCTAGCTACTGGCTGCCAGCACATAGCTGGTTTCCTCTAGCAATGGCCTCTACTCACTTCCAGCCTGTTTTCAGAATGGGAGGGGGGAAGGGAGCACAGGGAGTTCAGTCTAGGGGTTCCCCAGCTGGAGGGTGGGGTGGGTGAATTGGAGCCCCTCCAGTTCAGGGGAGCTCCAATGTACTTGTCACACCCTCTAGCAGGGGCTGAAAAACCTCCAGACCAGGGGTGGGCAATGTTATTTGGCCAGAGTGCTGATAAAACCACAATGTCTATCTTGTAAGGTGCTGGAATACCAACATGCCACAGCCCAGAACAGCTGTTTGCAGCCTCCTGAATGCAGCTGGCCCACGAAGCCTGGTCTGCTTGCAGCAGGGATTGCAGACTCCTAGCTGCGTGCTGGGAGTGGCCTGGGCTCCATGGCTGGCAGCAGCTGTTTACAGCTTAGGCTGGTTATGGTGTGCTAAGCAAAATGGCCTTACATGCCATGGTCATCATGCATGCTGGGGGTTGCTGACCCCTGCTCCAGACTGAACTCCCTCCACTCCCTTTCCCACCTCCCATTCTAAAAACAGTGACAGGCTGGGAGGCAGCACAGACACAAGTTACAAAAGATGCTATGTTTTGAAACATCTTCATTTTAACCCTCATACAATGAGCATTCAGATTTTTGCCCAACCGGCCATTTTTTAAGTGGTCTGGAGCCATGTACTTGGGTTTGGTCATGGCTATAGACCTCTTTCTGTGGCCAGAGTGGGTGAAAATTGTCACTTGTGTCTGCACCGTCACAGTCACCCAGCATTCCAGGATGCTTTGCTGTATGCTCCAGCTGAGCAAGGGGCCATGCTGTAGTACCTCCCAGCTTCTGGTTTGGGCCCCTTCAGACATACGGCTGCATTTCCAGAATCAAAAGTGAATGTCTTTTCACACACTTATTGATTCAATCACACAGCTTAGACTAACCTGCAAAGTTTAAATCAATTCAGCTTCAGGCTTTTTGACTATACTTATCCCTGATAGGCATTTCTAGGTTTCAGTGTCCACAATAAAACACTTCCAGTGCTATTGTTTATTGTTTCCACAGAAAGACTAAAGAATTATCTAGCTTAAAACCTCAATTGTTTTCCTTTGTTGGAAGTAACGATATGCCTCTTCAGACAAAAGTATCATAAAGTGATAACCTCAGCGCTTCTGGAAAATAATCTACTTTATCAGATTTGGGTGTGTGGAACAGATTGTTGAAACTCTGGTAAAAATGTTAAGGTCATGATTAAGCTTGGACCTGTGAATGAGTGCACATGTAGATTTACTTCTACAGGTGACTGGAACCAGAGTCCTGAAACAATATAGGAATAATTTTGCTTCATAAAAATATATGTGTTAGTATTTTCAAATAGTCCCTTCTCAGATCTGCTAGACTTTCATTATGAAAACAATTTAGAAAGAAAAACTTCCTAGAAGCAAGAAGTGACACCTGTCAAAATGACAGTGAGAATAATCTTAAAGTATCTTCAACTCCCTTACTTTCAGGTTTTTAAATTAATTTGTGAATTAAAGCAGTCTGATAGCTCCTAGGATCATGTGCATATATACACTATTTATATCTTGTAGTAACACAGAGAGAGTGATGATAAGGTTTATTTACATAAATCATTAAATGTTTCAAAACCATAAAATTGTGCTCATATTTACTTTCAGCATCCTGCTGTCCCTCCCCTCCTATGCTCTTTCAGCCTTACACAGATTCATTTTAAATCAATAGTAACTCACTGGCATTATATGAGCCCCTAATTATGTTATACTTTAAATTAGTTTGTAATCTATAGGGGGAAAACAGATTAATAACTTTCATGTTTTCATGCACAGTAGAGTCTTGATTCTAACTGTGGCTTTAGATATAATTCTATTATACATTATCAATAATATTAACAAACCTTTCAGTGTTGTGGTTGGCTTCAAATATCTCTATGTCATTATTGGTGGTGGTGTTATTTGTTAGTATCTGAATAGTAGGTATAGGCCACAGTTAAGATGTATGCCTCATTTTGGATTTCCCTGTACAAGTGTGGTGGTGGGTTCATTGGTCATTGCCCAGTGTGCCGGGCTCAGAGAAGCTTCATTCTGATTGGTGGGCTGCATGAGGCAGCTTGGGTCTGCAACTCCTGGCATGAGGCTGGGAACCCGGAGCCAGTAGCACGGCGACTTCTCTACCCAACAAATAAAGACATAGTCATCCCAGATTTCCATCACAGAAACCTCTTCTAAAGTCTTTTTTCTCTACATGGAAACTATTTAGTCAAGTGGAACAATTTGTCATCATTTGATCACACGTTCTTTTGAACAGTTCTCTATAAATCATGATTTAATAAATCTTGGGGAAGCCTTAAATTATGTTCCGCAAGGATGATCACTTGTATCTGATTTGTAATTGCATGCACTGTATTCTGATAGATCAACACAAAATGTTCAGTCTTTGCAGGACTATAACAAAAACTCCTATCACAAATGCCTAAGTAATGCTTTCTTCTAACCCATTTTTGGCTGAATGGTAAGGAGCTGATGTGATGTGCTGATGTTTATTTTAAAAGAAAGAAAGAAAGTGGGAATGCAGAAGTAAATTGAGTTCTGTTGTCACTTACAATATGTTCAGTAACTTCCATCTTAGAAAACAAAAGACATTTCTACCATGTGCGTTGAACTATCTGACTCCATATAGAATACATTTGGAATGATTATCTAGAGTAATAAAAAATATATGCTTCATAAATAGCTTAAAGTGCTCTATGTAGATTCACTGTCAGTAGTTATTTGGACACTCTTAGTGTGGAATGAAGCATATTTAGGCATGTGCTGTGATTGCTAACAGACTTGAAACCAATCCTATTTCTTGCATTTGTAGTCTCTGATCACTACACAATGCTGATGAACAAGTAACATCTTTTTTTGTCAAAGTAGCAGGACACAGATGTTTGTGTGCATGACTCACCTCATTTTTTATGATGTCATACATGTGGTTTTCCCTTTACAAACAACATAGAAGAGAAACACTGTAAGATGGAGAAAAAAGAGCCATGGTCCATTGAACAGGGCTGCTAAGCTGCCCATTACAGTGATGGAAAACACCTTTAGCCAGGCAAGAGAACACCTGACTGGAAGGGAGAGATGCCAATAGGATATCAACCTGGGTTCCTAAGGCAGAGGGGCGGTGCAGCCCTCAGTTGTGCTGATAGAGAAGTTGCTGCCAGTTCAGGCTGGTGGGGAGTATGAGCTGCAGGCCATGGCAGGTACTCCCAGGGTGGGGAGACCCAGAGAGTGAGAAGGTCGCTGGGCAGTGGCATGATGACCCAGAGGAGGGACTTTGAGTTTAAAGTGGTTGCTTGAAGTTTTGTTCTAATCTAAATTGTACTGAAGAATCAGATATGGCTGTAGGGAGTGTAAGGGAGGCCACAGGGATGCCCGAGATGCATGCTATAGGTTGAGCCCTGCCACAGGCAGAGGTACAAGGCACAGGCTGGATGAGGCTGACCTCAGCCCAGAGGGGGCAACAGAGGTGGAATGAGGCTGAGAGGGCCAAACAGGATGATTGAAGTAGCCAAGGACTGACAAAAAGCTGAAACTGGAAAGTCCAGGCCAGAGATAGTGGGCCTAGGCCACCAGTCAATATCCTGAGTAACCCATAGGCTAAGGCTGCGAAGGCTGAAGCCCATACAGAAAGGCAAACAGTGACTGAGTGGCATCTGCAAGGCACAGTTGTGTCTATGGGGGCAGCAGGAGGCCAAAGTTAAGAGCCCCAAGGCCACAGGAGATCTCCATTGCTGACAGTCCCAGCTAGGTGCCAGTTGGTCTGCTGGGTTGTGAGAAATACCCATGCAGAACTGCATCATTTTAGCTAGTGGGCTAGTGATCATGAGAGATGAGTCAAGTTAAGGGCACTCCAGGACTCAGGGGAATCCTCCCAATTATTATCAAAGAACATCAAGGCATCAAGACATGGCAGGTGAGATAAACAAGGGCAGGGTGGGAGGACAGGAAGTGCAGGAAGGATTAGGGTGGCCCTAGAGGGGCTGTCAGCCCCCACTGCAACAAGGTTTGAGTAGACAGACAGTAAGCATAACCAGATAGTTTTATTTACTGCCACTCGTGTGATCAGGCTGACTGACAGAGAGGTAGATGCAAGAATACACTGAGCCAAAGTCTTCCAAAATTATGTCTTTTCTATATAGCCATGAATACATTGTTAGTCCAATCATTAGCAAACATGCATTTAGTTACACAGGTACATTGCTTGATCATACATTTACTGTCCAATCAGAATACTAATCAGGGTGAAATCTATTTTCCCAGTTAGGTGATAGTTGCTACCTAAATGATCCTTACTCCCTAAGGTTCCTGGTAGACATTACACTTAAGACATAATTAAACAGTTAACTATGTCTCAGGTAGTATATTGGCCATATATTACTGCAATTAATGGTTCAATAAATCAAGGAATAAACCACAGGATTATCACACAAAATATGTGCTCTTGGCTCTGCTGCTCCTGCTCTGGGGCACAGTGGAGTCAAGGATTCTACAGGTGTAACACGGCAGTGCAATTGTTGGGATTGCACCTCAGATCCTATGATGCCTTTAACTGGATGTCTACAGGGGCCTAATCTGTAGTACACCAGAATTTTATCTTGTTTCTTATTAATTTATTAGCTGGTTCGGAACTGAGATATGAGGTAGATATTAGGGTTGTGCAACATTTCACTGAGTGATTTGTTTTGAAGCTGTTTCGATGTGTTTCAAGCTCAGAACATCAACACTGAAATGAAAAGAAAGCTTTGAAACATCTTCAAAATGAAATGAGGGCACTCTAAACATTTTGAAAGTTTCAAAACATTTTGAGTTTCGAAGCAGCCTGGTGGCGGAAAGCAGGGGACAGCCAGGGCTGTGCTCTGAGTGGCTCTGCAGCCCCATGGAGCTCACCCTGGCAGAGGGAGGTGGAGCACAGCCCTGGCTCTGCCCACCTCCCACCCCTGGGCTGCACTCTGACCATTTCTGCCAGCCCCACAGAGCTCAACTTGACCTCCCAGCACTACCAGACTCCTTCCAGGGGAGCAGGCCCCTGGATCTGTGCACCTGATGACAAGAGAGGTTGCTGCTGCTGCCTGGGGCCAGGGCAGCATCAATCTTCCCTGGTGCTGGGCGTGGGTTGTGAAATGGAATAATGCTTTGAAATGAAATGAAACAATGAAACAAAACACTGT